CTGCTGGCTCCGCGCACCACTTGTGCTGTTGGAAGCCGGTTGGCAAGGACGAGGCTAGAGTGCTAAGTTGGCCCTAATCTACCAGTGTACTGTTAGGAAATTGAAGGCATTATTGATTAACTCCGCGTGGAATCCAACATTTAGCTTTGCAGGTTTGAAGCAATGCAGCCTAACTTTCCGAAACAGTCTGGCAGGAGTTCTAACTTCTAGTCCTGCTGTGCTCATTGGCTGGAACAGACGACTGTAGTGACTATGAGAAGCCTAGCGCCTCTTGAAGGAAAACTTGGAGTTATGTAGAATTGGCTGGACTAGTACTAGTAAGATTGAAGGGGTTGCTGCAAATCCCAACTTGTTTCTGTTGCTCCACTCAAAAATGAGCTCTGGTTCTGTGCTCTTTGGTTCTGAATGTTTCACTGGTCTGGGTGGAAGTGGAACCTTGGTGATGGACAAAGTTGCCAGCCAATCCCATCGGTTGGATGCAGTTCTTTGACTTTACCGTCACGGGCACGGATCAGGGTTTCAGATGCATGTACACTGCAAGTGGCTAGGCTCTCCCACTGGTTCTACACTTGTTCTGTACACATACTGCAGTTTTTGCCTTTCCCGTCACGAAGACGTTTCAGGGTTTCATTTCATGCGTAATTCGACTACAGCTTGCGGTATCCAGCTTCGCCAATGTCGCATAGAGTCGACAGATATTGACGAAAGCCCGTTAACACTCGTGACGAATCATAACTGCAGATTTTGGAGATGATGATTCTCAGGTTAGAGAACAAAATTGTTTCCCGTTGTTTGCAAGACGTGTGTGATTTGGTGAAGGGCAGGAAATGTTTTGCTGACAGGGCGACGCCTTTGTGGCGTGATGTTATTGGATTGGTACTGCGTGTTTTGCGCGTTCGGCTTGGCTTGGCCTTTTCGGGGTCTGGGGGCGTTTCACTCCCTCTGATTTGGAATCGGTTCAGCATACGTGGACAGTGCTCCTCATCAGCAACCTTGTTGAAACTGTGGATTATGGAGACTACATACACCCTGAACAGCGCGTAACTGGCTGGCTGATTGTGTCTTATTAGAGTCGGTTAAATAAACCATACCGAACCATAACTTAACCGCCCTAAACCGTGTAAACTCATACCAAATGTCAGTATAGCTGGCGTACCGTTACAGGACTGTTGTCAGTCGTGACGTGGAAGGTACACTAGCTGCCAAGACGACGTCAGACTTGATGTTGTGTTCATGTTCGACACTCATAAATTTCTGGCGGCAAATGTCACGTGGATAATCCAAGGACGCACCCGAGGCTCATTCGCCTGCCCTGTTTTTCGCCAATGCGGTGTACTTACTCAGTTTTACATTTACAAAATTTCCATGTACCATGGTCCAATGACAGATCATGTACGCGTTACAGTTCACTTCCATACAAACTTCTTTCGGAACCAATCATTCCATCAAGAACATCCATCGACGATATGACAGGATAGCACTGGGAAATACCAGACATTGCTAGCTCATTCCTGTCATGTCCGTCTCGCCCATTTAGACTCCGCCTGTCCAGCTCTCAGTACCTAGGAGTCATCCCATGTTCCGCTCGTTGCGCTTCGCCGCGGTTCTTGCAACGCGCCGGCGTGAGCATCGCCGCGTTATTTGTTGACTATCCTGTCAGAACATTATATAGCTTATGTTGTTGTGTAGGCTATAGTGGGGTATCCCATAGGGGGTACAACCCAATTAGGGTTTCCTATATGTACTCACCTCATTCATAGTTCATTCATCCTCGTTCTTCATTCTTCTCATGGTATCGAGCAGGTTCCCTCGTGGGAACTGTTCCTAGGGCCCACCGTTTTTTTTTTTCCTGCCCGGAGCGCACTCTGCCCCTACCCGAGTCGCGCTCCCCTCTCTCTTGGCCCCTAGTGGCCCCTTTAGCCGCCCGTCACGGCCCTTAGACGCCCGCGCGCCGCCCGTCCCGGCCCCTTAGACGCCCGCGCGCCGCCCGTCCCGGCCCCTAGACGCCCGTGCGCCACCCGGCCCGGCCCCTAGACGCCCGCGCGCCGCCCGTCCCGGCCCCTAGACGCCCGCGCGCCGCCCGTCCCGGCCCCTAGACGCCCGCGCGCCGCCCGTCCCGGCCCCTCGACGCCCGCGCGCCGCCCGTCCCGGCCCCTCGACGCCCGCGCGCCGCCCGTCCCGGCCCCTCGCCGCCCGTGAGCCGCCCGTCCCGGCCCCTAGACGCCCGCGCGCCGCCCGTCCCGGCCCCTAGACGCCCGCGCGCCGCCCGTCCCGGCCCCTCGACGCCCACGCGCCGCCCGTCCCGGCCCCTAGACGCCCGCGCGCCACCCGGCCCGACCCCTAGACGCCCGCGCGCCGCCCGTCCCGGCCCCTCGACGCCCGCACGCCGCCCGTCCCGGCCCCTCGACGCCCGCGCGCCGTCCGTCCCGGCCCCACGCCGCCCGTGAGCCGCCCGTCCCGGCCGCGCACCGCAGTCCCGGCCCCACGCCGCCCGTGCGCCGCCCGTCCCAGCCGCGCGCCGCCGTCTCGGTCCCCACGCCGCCTGTGCCGCTGAGGAGCTGAGCCGCCCGAGCCGCCCGAGCCGCCCGCACCGCCCGAGCAGCCCGAGCCGTGCTGCCCCTCAGCAGCACAACCGAGCCGCCCGACAGCAGAGCAGCCGAGCCGCTCAACAGCCGAGCCGCCCAGCAGCCGAGCCGCCCAGCAGCCGTGCCGCCCAGCAGCGGAGCCGCCGAGCCGCCGAGCCGCCCGGCAGCCGAGCCGCCGAGCCGCCGCGCCGCCCTCCTTCCGGGCCGCCCGACCTGTCCAGTCTGGTGAGCACAGCGCCCTTTCACTGCACTGCCCTCACCCTACTGTTTGCGCTGCCAGTCGTCTAGGGTCATGGCTACCCCTAGTGTTCTAGTCTTTGACGCTGAGGGTCGGGCCATTGACTTTGAGGTCTGGGTGGATGACCTGCAGCTGTTCTTACAGTGCGATAGGGCAGATGGTCTCTCTCTCTTTGACCTCACCTCTGGCGCCTCCACTGCCCCTGCTGCTGACGCCGACGCCACTGTTCGCTCCCAGTGGGCCACGCGCGACGCTGCTGCACGTCTTGCTGTGCGTCGCCACCTCCCTACCTCCGAGCGTGCACACTTTAGTCAGTACAAGAGTGCTCAGACCTTGTACGACGCTGTAGTTGCGCGCTACTCCTCCCCTGCCACTGCTGCACTGAGCCGTCTCATGCTACCGTACCTCTTTCCTGACCTTGCTGCCTTTCCCACAGTCGCTGACCTCATTACGCACCTCCGCACTAGTGACACTCGCTACCGCGCTGCACTCCCTGCTGACTTCTGCGCCAAGAACCCCCCCCCCATGTACATCACTCTTTACTACATAGTCACTCGCCTTCCTGACTCCCTTCGCGTAGTCAGGGACCACTTTCTCTCTGTCTGTCCCACCACTCTCACTGTTGACCTCCTCGAGAAGTCCCTCCTAGCGGCCGAGAAGAGCATAGTCGCTGTAGGGGCCTCTCGTGGTGACCCGCGCACCCCCATCTTTGAGGGGTGTTCCCCCTCCCCCCTTCTGCCCTCTGTTGCCTCTGCTGCTGCGGCCGACCTCCTTGGTCTTGAGTCGGTCGGTGTGGCGTCTGCCCCTAGTGGGAGACGCCGCTCTGGCAAGGGCAAGGGGGGCAAGGGCGCTGGAGGAGCGAGCGGGGGCGGTGGAGGTGGAGGTGGCGGCGGTGGGGGGAGTGGGGGTGGCGGTGGGAGTGGAGGTGGGGGTGGAGGAGTCGGTGGCGGCAGTGGAGGCGGAGGTGTCGGCGGCGGTGGCAGTGGGAGCGGGGGTGGCGGAGGTGGCGGCGGCGGAGGCGGAGGTGGAGGCGGCGGCAGTAGCGGAGGCGGAGGAGGCGGCGGGGGTGGAGGTGGTGCTGGTCGCGGGTCTTCGCAGAGGAGTGGCTCCGGTGGTGGCTCGCGCCAGCAGCAGCAGCGTGGTCGTGACACCTTGTCCCCTCAGCAGCTTCGTGAGTGGTACACTGCGCGTCAGCGAGGTGGGGGTTTTGGTCCGTGCTCCTACGTTTTGCGCACCGGCGACCGTGCGGGTGAGCAGTGTGGGGGTCCCCACCCCACTCAGCGCTGCTTTGGCCGCCTGACGGACGCGTGG